TAGGAGGCTGGAGTTAGACCCAGAGGACGAACAAGTTCATCCAACACACAGAGTGAAGAGGGCAGAAGCTGAAGACAGAACCTTGGGGAAAAGTGGAGGAGAGAAAATGGATTCCATGCTGGGGATGACCCCCTACTTCCTCCACCCCCATCCTGCCCCTCCCCCCAACACTGCCTTGCACTGGTTCTGGGTCAGAGAAACAAACAAAAAAACAAAAAACCAGAAGGACTGGACATGATGGCGCACACCTTTACTTCCAGCACTCGGGAGGCAGAGGCAGGCTGATCCCTGTGAGTTTGAGGCCAGCCTGGTCTACAGAGTGAGTTACAGGGCAGCCAAGGCTGTTACACTGAGAAACCCTGTCTTGTAAAACCAAAAAGAAAAAATGAAGGAATGTTTGCTTAATGACTACAGGAATGAAGCCTCCTTTCTCTTTTCTTTCTTCTCTAAACCTGGGAATATGAAAGCAATGAGACAAGGAGAGAAACAAGGAGCATTCAACATTCTGGGTGATGGTATGATTAAACCCGTGTGAAATGGAGTGATCAAGGTTTGTTTGCACAGAGCATTGATTGTATCCCAATAGATTTCCAAGAGGGGCAGTCAACTGAGAAGGTATAAGTCATGGCCATGGCCTCTGAAGCTACCAGTATACATCTCTCCTCTCCTCTAGGTCCAGAATCTCTAGAAGGCAGCTGTAGACTTGGGCTGAAGCCCTGGAAGTCTGGTCTTCCTTCTAGAGACTAGCTCTGCTCTAAGTGTCTGTTCTCCTTCCCTGGCCAGGTAAGAAGAAAGCAGTAGCGTTGTTTGACAGCCAAGCCCCGATCTGCCCCATCTGCCAAGTCCTGCTGAGGCCCAGCGAGTTGCAGGAACATATGGAGCAGGAACTGGAGCAGCTGGCCCAACTGCCTGCCAGGTAAGCCACCTACAGGGAGTCTGCGGGGTGGGGGGGGGGTAATATTCCACTCTGCGAGCTGCTAGGTCTCAGGGTTAGAGGTAGCTTCCCTTATTGTGAGTATGGAATCTGAGGATTCACTTTCCTCAACCCTGCCCCCCCCATATAAAGCAAGAAGAAAAGACAGCAGAAAACCGAGAAGAGCCACACAGGTCCTGGCTTCTCCCCAGAGGCTCATGTGAGACCTAGCAGCTAGCAGCATGGATTTTGAAGGAAAAGTACTAGTCACCTATTGGCTGTTACAGATTGCCCCGAAACTTAATGGTTTAAGACTTTTATTAGGACCAGTGAGAAGACTCAGCAGGTAAAGGCTTTTGGCACACAAGCTCCACCCCCTTCCCAGTACCTAGGGAAGGTAGGAGGTGATAAACTAACTCCAAAAGTTGCCCTCTAACCTATACACACACACACACACACACACACACACACACACACACACACACACACAATGAAAAAAAATTAACCAGGTGGTGGTGACACATGCCTTTAATCCCAGCACTCAGGAGGCAGAGGCAGGCAGATCTCTGTGATTTCCAGGCCAGCCTACAGAGTGAGTTTCAGGACTAGCTCCAAATCTACAGAGAAACCCCGTCTCAAAAAAAAAAAGTCTCAGTTTCTGTGAGTCATCAGCTCCAGAACAGCATAGTTATATGATCATGGATAGCTACGACCACTAAGCTCTGGCTCTCCTGAGGCTAAAGTGAAAATCACTCAAGGTTACAGTCACCTGAAGGTCTGACTAGGATTGCAGGGTGTTTCCAAGATGGCTCACTTCTGTGGGCTGTAAGCAGGAAATGTCAACCTCCAACAAGGCAGCTGACTGCCCACAGCATGTGATCCAAGAAAGAGATTAAGGGAAGCCACAGTGCCTTCCCCAAAAGTCTACCTACACGCTAGCACACCCCCCGCTAGACTATTCCATCTCCAGGTCAAGCAGAAATTCCAGGGACCCTGGCAGGAGCAGTGCCTGGAATTTGAGGCCACCCTGAGCTACATAGTGTGACTACTGTATCTCTAGAAAGAAAGGCCAAGAGGGAAAGAGGCAGGAAGGAATGTGGAGAGAGGAACAAGGGAGGGATGGAGGGATGGAGGGAAGGAAGGAAGGAAGAAGGAAGGAAGGAAGGAAATGAATCACCAAGCCCAGCCCATAAGCTGTGCCTTTAACAGCCCAGCCCAGCCCCATACTCCAGGGAGAAGCATTGTGCTCTAAAAGCTCTCATTCTTAAAGACAAAAGTATCAAAAGAGTCTGTGGGCACACTTTAAAAACCCCTCTGAAGCTATGCTATGGTAATAATAATGAACCTCGTGGAATATTCACTATCTGGCAAGCACTTTATTTATTCTTCACTCTGAGGTAGGTGATACAGTCACGCATTGCTTAATGATGGGTTTATGTTCAGAGAAATGCATCCTGAGACTTTTTTTTTTTGGTCATGGAAGCATCATAGATTGTACTTACACAAATTACACTGTCACTAGGTAATGTAACCTCATGGGACCACTTTCAATGTGTAGCCAACCTGTTACTAATTGTGGTGTGTGACTATGGATACGACTCTCATTTTACAGAGGAGGAAACTGAGACACACACGTTAAGCGACTTCTCTAAGATTGTCCGCTTAGCAGTAAAGATTTGTTTTGAGCGCCCTGCTCTTCGCCTCCCCTTTCCCATCACTCACACACCTGGGATTGACCTGCCAGGGGCGGAAAGTGAGACTTCCTGCAGGCTGTCCCAGGAGTTCTGGGTAATGTGCTTCCAATGAAGGGGTCCTCAACCAGAAACAGAAAAGAGAAGACCCCGCAGAGTCCATTTGGGCAGCTCTTACTGTCTCCTCAGCAAGTGCCCCGCAAGCCCGCAACACCCAGGGCATCTCCCACTCCCTCCTCGCTCTATTCCCGCTCGTGACCCCGCATAAATCCCTCATCAACCACGTTTCTCGGAGCACCCACACCTCGCGGCTGTCGGCTCACGTCCCTGCACCCCCTAATGCCCACGCCGCCCTCGGCACGTGCACGCCCTGCGCCCCTGGCACGCCCTCCTCCCCACCGGGTGTCTGACAGCCGGACAGCGGGATCTGCACAGCAAGTGAAATTCCCGTCGGATCGATAAAGCCGAAGCGCTGGCGGCGACGGGTCGATGGTTTTATCTGTCTCGGCCCCGCCGCGCCCGGCGCGCTGACAGTCGGACCGGCCGGCAAAGGCGTTCAAGGGCAGCCGCACCCGCGGCCCCCTCCCCACGCGCGCCCCCTCCCCGCGGCCGCTGCGCCCACCGGACTGCGGGCTGGACCAGCCCGCCGCCGCCCTTGTGATTTATCTGGAGTTTTAATTGGAAAAAATTTGCGAATTAATTGATTTCAGGAACTTGCCAATTAACATTGTAATTGGGTGCGTGATAAATTCCCAAGGAGCGTGTCAGCTCCCTCCGGGCTGACGGGCAGTGCGGGAGGAGGGTCCCCAGCCTTGCTGCCCTTGCCCCGCCTCCTGCTGGTTCTGGGGCGAGCCCGAGGAGGGGCAAAGGAAGATGGGGAAAGACAGAGCACCTGGGCTCCTGAGAGCCATCCCATCCACCTTCCTTCTTCCCACGGACCGGTTTATGCATGGGGAAACCGAGTCCCACAGGAGGCAGAAGCCCGAAGTGTGGGCCAACCCCATTCACCACCTGTGGCCAGCTCTCCAACCCTCTGGCTTCCTCCTGGCCTTGTTCCTGTCTTCTTTTGATCCCTCTCCCTTGGTTTCCTCAGCTGGCTCCTCCCTGTTCTCTCAACCTGCCCCCCCCCCTTTGTCCTGTTACCCTACCTTGCCCTCCTTTGCCCTCTCTGTTCCTTCCTCAGCCTAGCCCACCTGAGCTTGGGGGTGCTGCTGCCAGCTGACCTCTCAGGTGGTTCTGTTTCTGGAACTTTCCAGGTGGACCTCTTCTGTCTTCTGCCTTCAACTGGGCAACAACTTAGAATAGGTCCTGTGCTAGTCTACACTCCTGGCGGCTCACAAAAGAAGCAAGGGCCTTCCAGCTCCTAAACCAAGGAGGCTGGTTTTCACAGACACTAGCTTGACACACATGTATGCACACACACACACACCTTATTCCCACACATCCTGAAAGAGCCGCCTTCCCAGAGATGAACATTCCCAGGTGCCATGAGCAACCAAGTTCCCACCTGGTTGACACTAGGCTACACTCCCCCTTCACCTCACCTGATTCTGTCCTTCCCCTTCTAGAACCTTCACAAGGGCCCCCTTACATGCAAGGGCTTGGCTACTTAGAACAGAGAGAGCAATATTGGGTAAGGACAGAGTCGGGAGGACCTTCCATGCAGGAGGATGTCCCACGTGTTAATGGGACATCGTGTCCCAGGTGGAGAGTAGGCTGGCGCAGAAACGGGGGGGGGCAAATTGATGAGGCTGCCTTAGGACAATAGCTGGAAGTGGGGCATACAGAAGGGGGCATTAAGAGGATGGAGGAAGGACAAGCCGAGGGACTTAGCTAGGGTATTTACTAGGAGAAGACACTCTGACTTGAATGGTTGGGAGTGTAGTAAAGGTAATGTTCACAATCAGAGAGAGGAAGCAACAGGTAGGGCTCTGGGTAAGCTGATGCTTCTGGGATGGTGTTGGGCTAGGGACTAGATATGACGTACAGACAGACAAGGACGTGGATGGGGCTGAAGATTGCAGGGCAGATGAAAGGACTGGATCTGAGACCCTCTGTGGGCCCTAGACAGCAGTTCCCACCCATTAAGAAGAAACAGCCTTGAGCATGGACCAGTCACAGAGCTGAAACTGAGGTTTGGCTGGTAGGACCTGAGCACAGAGATCCTTAAGAGAGCTGGGCTACGGGCTGAGAGACAGCCTCATCTGGGAAGGACTTTAAAAGGGCTGAAAAAAAATCTAAAGGGAGACTGGGTAGCTCTGAAGGAGAGGCGGGGTGTAGAGACGGCAGTGCCCCCACCCCTACTTAAGCCTTATTTAAGGCCGGCCTCGGTGTTTGGTTGGGTAATGAACTAGATAAACAATTCCCCAAATAGATTAAAACGAAGTGTAACTTACAAAGGCGGCTGGTGATGATGGTTTATTCCCGGGCAGTGCACCATTTCTTTATTTCCAAGGATAATTCAGTGTAAATCACCTTAATTAAAAGTGTCAGCCCAGCCCATGAATATTGTACTTAGGAACGCGTTTCCTGGGTCCCAGTTATAATTTAAAACCCATGGATCACTAGGCAGCGAGTGACTGAGCAAGGAGGGAAATTGTTGGGGGCGGGCTGAGGAAACAGGAGGGACAGAAGGCAGAGCTGATGGGCTGGGCAGGAGCCAGGCTGCTTACAGCTCAGGACTTGGACCTCTCCTCCAAGTCAAGCCACTCACCAGACTCTCCTGAAGCCAGGAACATTTGGAGTTGAAGGGATTGATAGAAGGGAAGGGGGCGTGGGCACTCTTGCTCAGAGCAAGGGGAGGAGTCTGTGGCCAGAAAAATGGAAAGACGGGCTTGCCAGAGAACAGGTTGATACCCCGAATGACCCAATTCTACTTACCAGCAAAGTAAATGAGCACAGGATCAGCAAGACCCTGCCCAAAGTTGCACAGCAAGCTGAGATGAAAAGAAATTTGGTGTTTTGTACTAAAGCCTAAGGCCCATGTAACTTCAGAGAGGCAGCATTAAAAGCTCAAGTTCCAAGCCCTCCATGGACTGAATGACACAGAGGTGCCAACTTTGTAAAGTTTTGGTAGAAATTCAGTGAAATTACACACACAAGGCCTGTCTCTGTCACATACGGTGGATCCACAGTCATTTTTTATTCCTTCATTTTCTGACCTCACCTAATACAGTCACATAGATAATAGCCCTATCCCAGTCTAGGATCAAGAATGACAACAGTGTGGATAGCAGATAGCTCTCTTTGTAGACAGAATAGTGGTGTTGTTATTTGTTCGCTGGATGAGTGAAGAAGTTAAGAAATGATAAAAGTTGTGAACTAACAAACTGGTCACTCCTCAAGGGCATCCCAGCTTCTCCTCTGTATGCCCACTCTGGCCAGACAAAGACCGACAAGGAGCAACCTGTAACTGACTGGAACCTGTACCGGCAGTCCTTCCTATGCTGTGTTTTTCCTGCTGTGTGAACACACTGGTAGCTCTAATCTGATACTCAGATATGGTCTTCTACTGCTGTGGAGACTGATGGCCTCTGCGCTGGTGTGTGTGTGTGTGTGTGTGTGTGTGTGTGTGTGTGTGTGTGTGTGTGTGTGTGTGTGTGTTCCCCTAAGTGTCTGTATCTGTAGATATGTATGTGCCTAAGTGTGTCAGCGCTTTTTAGGTGTCTCCATCTCTGCAAGTGTTTATGTGGACTTCTGTATATGAGCAGCTCTTTATCCAGTCTGCATGGCTGTTGTGAATTTGTCTTTATGACCATGTCTCTGGGAGTGACCCTATGGCCTTGTGCATCTGTATGCATGTCTGAGTCTCCGGGTGTGACTGCCTGAATCTATGTGCCTGTTGGTAGAATGATATTCTGTGTATCTGCCTTGAGACCAGGGCTTCTCAACCTGAGCACTATTGACATTTTGGGTCCGATAATTCTTTGTGAGGGGCTGTCTGGAATAGTATAGATTGTTAAACACCATCTACCCACTAGATGCCAGTAGCAAACCCCTTTCCACACCCAAGTTTAAACAGTCAGAAATCAATCAAAACTATCTCCAGGGACTTAGAACATAGTGCAGTGGTGGAGCATTTGTCTAGCATATGGTAGAATATATATATATGTTCAGACATTGCAGGTGTCCCCTGGGTGGGCACACATCCCTCATTCCACTGAAAGTCACTACTTTTGCCATTTCTGCTTATTCTTTTTTTTTTTTTTTTGGTTTTTATGAGACAGGGTTTCTCTGTATTATTTTAGAGGCTTTCGGTCCAGCCCGGCCTCGAACTCACAGACATCCACCTGCCTCTGCCTCCCGAGTGCTGGGATTAAAGGCGTGCGCCACCACCGCCCGGCTCTGCTTATTCTTTTGCTTATACATTATGCATTTCTCTGTTTGGTTTAATGGGTGCCCGAATACATCTGTAGGTGCTCCTTAATGTACACACTCACTGAGTCCACACACACCCCTGTAGTCTGCTTTCAATGTATCTGTGTCCCTTCATGCTTTCTGGCTGTGTCTGAGGATGTGCTCTACATTTGTGCTTTGTATGTGTGTCTGTGCGGACAGCCTATAAAAACGGACCATGTCTGTCTCTGTGCATGTGTCAGTAATCCCCTGTATGTATTTGTGTGTGTGTGCCTGTGCATGCATGCACGCCAGTGTGTGAGCACAATGCAGCAGTATAGTGGGGGCAGCAGGCAGGAAGGGACAGGAACAGGGATATTAATGTTTCTGAAGTGGATCTGATTTGATACGTCTTGTTCCATTGTCAGCATCTGTTTAGCGGGATTTGTAATACTCTGTGGCTCTGGATCACTCATGCTTAGCGTGGGATGTGGCCTTGCATACCAATTTTGTTATTAAACACAGTCCTTGCCTCCCCCACAACCCATCCATCACCTCCCACCCAGCCCCCGCCCGCTCTGAACTGCCCACCATATTTCAGGGCCCAGCTCCCTCCTGCCTGCTGCCCGATGCCGGAGGGCCTGGGGCTGACAAATTGAATCAGGGGGAGATCATTTCTAGCCTAACACAGTTTGCAGCGTGTTGGAGGAAAAATTGACAAGAGTCATGTCGGCCCCATCACCCCAATCCCATGGGAACTAAGAGCAGGCTAACAACGGGGAGTGGTGAGAAGGGAGCCTCCAGGACAAATACAATCTTCAGGGCTGATTCTAGATAAAACCCCTGTCCTCCAGTACTCTGCCTGGTGGCTGTGTCCCCTCCCAGGGGCCAGCATGGTTCTTGGCACCTGGAAGAAGCAGAACTAGGTCCTACGCCACTGGGTTGAGTGTACTGGGCGGAGCTAGGCTTAGCTGTCTGGACTATGCCATGCTTGCAATGCCTTCTCTTGGGATTATTTTGTTAATCTACCCTTGTTCACATGACCTGGATACCCAGTGGAATGGTCACCATGTTCTCTTCTTTCTTGGCAGCAAAAATTCCCTTCTGAAGGATGCCATGGCTCCAGGCACCCCCAAGGTAGGTGATCAGTTATGTTTTCCCTCCTGCTCATTCCAACCTAGGCCTTCCAAGATGCGTCTCCTACTGAAAGAAAGGCATTCCCCATGGATTCCAAACTAGCTCCATTGGAATGTCAACCTGATGCCTAGGGTTGCTTGGTGTGTTAGGGTGTGGCTGGGTTTGCAGAATCCATCTGTGTAGAGAGAGAGAGTCAAAATGGGCTGGGGTGTGGGCAGACACCCAAGCTGGGGAGACTCCAAGGAAACTGTAACCAGTGTGTGTGTGTGTGTGTGTGTGTGTGTGTGTGTGTGTGTGTGTACACGTGCGCGTGTGTATACATGCACACATTATAAAGAAACAGAAAAATTCTGGGTCCATCTGAGGAAAGAGTTGGTCCTTCTGAAAAGACACTGTGGAAGAAACTTGGGTGCATGAGGTGGAGAAGAATAAAGAGCAGATATCTCCTCTTGGCCTACTGACATGAGTGCCCATAAGGAGCAGATGGTACTGTCTCCCAAAGATGATGATTGAGGGGATGGAGACCTGGAGAGGAAGAGGTACTCACTGAATACATGGCCTCATTCCTCTGTGGAAGGCTGCCCTCTTTCTCCAAGCTCTCCCACTGTTCACCTGTGTGTGTCATGGGGATTGAGAAGTAGGTGCTGAACCTCAGGAACAGACTTATTCAGTGAGTGGGAGTGTGGGGAAGGTAAGGACAAATACCAAGAAAAAGTGAGGGCATTAGGAGGGTCACAGGAGAGCATGTCTCCCACTTCCCTAAAGATAAACAGTTTCAAAGTGCCTGGGTGGTCAGGACTCCAGCATGAAGTGGTCCATATATCTGAAAGGCCTAAAGTCACCAGTGACCTCTGAGAGGGCAACTTTGGGAAAAGGAGCCAGTGACAAGTATCACCTCCATGACTTGGCCAACCACCCCTTGGGCCTTTAGAAGGAGAGGAGATAGACTGACTATTCACCCTCATTCCAAACTTGCTAAGCCACAGCCAACAGCAAAAAGAGGAACAGAGAGTCCAGTGTAGCCCGGGATTGGTGCAGACCCTGGGCCAAGGCCTGGGATAGAAAGGGATAGGGGAACCAGGCAGCTGTGGACGGGAGGAAGCAAGAAGCCACACACTCCTTGCTTGGCCGAGACTTCCGTGTTTAATGGTGACATAACTGAAGGTCATGGCCAAGCTTCTACTTCAGCCACTACCTGAGTGTGAGTGACGGGGCCTAGACACTGGAAACCAGAAGGGCTTGTGTTCTCAGGACTGGCCCTGGCAGACACACTCCTCATCCATACTTACCTCTCCCATACGTGACCCATAGATCAGAATGTATATCCAGGAAGTCTTAAGCACAGACACATCCCTGCAACCAGACGCTGGCATACTGATCACTAGATGCAGAATAAAGGGACCATTGCGCGAGCACCTGTTCCCAGATAAACTCCCCAAAGCTGATCAGTGGCTGGCTTCTCCTTGGTCTTGACCCCTCAGCTTTGGGGAAGCAAGTTATAGGAGAAAGAGGTAGAAAGCGGAAGGTTGAAGTGAGTATCTGAGAGGACAGGCAGGGAGGAAGGGAGGGAGGAGAAGGAGGAGAGGGCGAGGGGCCCTTAGACAAGATTGATGGCCTCGTTGCCATTAAGAAAAAAATTAGCCGGTGGCGGCTATCATATTAAAGGGTGAAGAAGCCGTGAATTATTTTCTTAAAGATCTTATCGCTTACAATGATAATTTTACCTTCCAAAAGGCCACTTTTAATGAGGCGAAGAGCCAGGCAAAAAGTCATGATTTAATGCCAGGATTTTTTTTTCAAAACACATTTTACTGCTTTTTGGTCCATGTTTAAAAAGCACCAGTGACCTTTTTTTATTCTGTTTGCCCCAGGTGTAATGCCGAGGCCTCTCAGGGCTTCTAACCTAGAGAGAGAGACAGAGATAGACAGAAGAGAGCTTTGTTACTGTTGGGGGGCCACACACTATGACACACTGTTCTCTCTCTCAATATTCTCCTTGGGATCAGAGAGGAACATTGCCTGACATCTTTCTGGCTGGGGCTGTCACCCACCAGGCCTCCCATCAGGCTTATAGGCAAGTCACATCCCAGGCCCTCTGCAACCCCTGGGC